AGACGCGAACGAAGAGAGGAGACTGTGTGTCAAAGATGAACCTGTTTATTTGACCGGACTTGTGGCTGGTAATCAGAAACTCAGATTACAGCGATACATACTGACATCGATAGCGGCAAACGGCCGCTATCAGTCGGCCGTCGATCAAGTGACAAGCAGTGAAGTGCGGTGGCATTTATACACGCGCCGCAATATTCTATCGTTATAGCTAGCGGCCATGTAAGTTATAGAATAATCTCTTATGTTCGTGTTGCATGCGTAATCTCAACAAAATGATCTACTACAAGCCCGAAGCTTATCTATGTCAGATCAATGAGACAATAATCTTACAAGAAAACGTATATTTACAGATATTTACAACGATTACACGCGATGACAATGCCTGGCGCACTGGGGGGCTGGAACCAGTCTCTATCCACTTCGTAGTCTTTTCTTTCAGCCAGGGACCCTCTACCGCTTTATGCCCCAATCCCACTACTGCCTTGTGGCACTACCCCGCGGCGTTAAAGCGCCGACCCGGCGCTTGTCACGAAAGGGGAGTGTTGGGTGACACATAAGGCTTCAGTCTGACGACGTGCACAACAGTGGATGGTGGTGGCATTGAGTGCGCTTCGTCGACGACTCGCTGTATCTCGTAGGTGAGGTTGGTGATCTTGCGAAGGACTTTGTATGGTCCGTCATAGCGAAATAAAAGTTTTTCTGAGAGGCCGATGTGACGACATGGGGTCCACAAGAGTACGAGAGAACCTGGTGCATACGAAACTTCGCGGTGGTGACGATCGTATCGATCTTTCTGAGAGGCTTGAGAAAGCATGAGTCGTTCTCGGGCAATCTGTCGTGCTGCGTCGGCTCGCTCTATGGCATCGCGGACGTATGTGACAGGGGAGCTTGAACCAGCGGGAAGGAGTGAATCAAGAGGCAGAGAGGGTTCCCGTCCATAAAGAATGTAGAACGGGGAATAGCCTGCGGTGTCATGTCTGGAGGAGTTGTAAGTGAAGGTGACGTAGGGTAACGTTGCGTCCCAGTCACGGTGGTCTAGAGAAACATACATTGACAACATGTCCGTGATAGTGCGATTCAGGCGCTCTGTAAGTCCATTGGTTTGTGGATGGTATGCCGTTGTGAACTTGTGGTTCGTGGAACAGGAACGTACGATATCCTGGACGACGCGAGATAAAAAGTATCGGCCTTGGTCAGTAACGAGCTGTCGAGGAGAGCCTTGATGCAGTATGATGTCATGTAGCAGAAAGTCGGCGACATCGGTGGCGCAGCTGGTTGGAAGAGCACGGGTGATCGCGTAACGTGTCGCGTAGTCGGTCGCCACGGCAACCCATTTGTTCCCGGATGCAGAAGTGGGAAATGGCCCGAGAAGGTCGAGCCCTACGCGGTAGAATGGTTCAGCAGGGATCTCAATAGGGTTAAGAAGGCCAGCTGGAAGCGATGTTGGTCGTTTTCGACGTTGACAAAGGTCGCAGCTGGCGACATACTTTTGCACAGAGCGATATAGGCGTGGCCAGAAAAAATGGCGCCGGACGCGATCATAAGTGCGGGTGACTCCTAGGTGACCAGCGGTAGGTTCATCGTGAAGCTGTCGGAGAACATCTACACGCAAACGGAAAGGCACGACGAGAAGTCCATCAGGACCATTAGGGCGCATGTTGTGACGGTAGAGAACTCCTTCATGAAGGAAATACAAGTTCAGAGAAGTGGGTGGAGTAGCGGAACTCAGGCTTTCTATGATGGGAAGTAAATCCGGGTCGCGGCGTTGCTCAGAAGCGATATCAAGAAAGTCTGATATTGATAAGACGCAAGCCTCCGTAGCTCTCTCTGTGGCGTCTGGTGGATCCACTGGATACCGCGACAGGCAGTCGGCGTCTTGATGGAGGTGACCAGATTTATAGACGACCGAGAAGGTGTATTCTTGGAGGCGTAGAGACCAACGACCGAGACGTCCCGTGGGATCCTTTAGCGAGGAAAGCCAGCAGAGTGCATGATGATCAGTTACAACAGTAAAACTGCGGCCGAAGAGGTACGGGCGAAATTTAGCGACAGTCCAAACAAGAGCAAGACACTCTCTTTCGGTGATGGAATAGTTCCTCTCGGCAGGGGATAAAAGGCGGCTGGCGTAGGCGATGACACAGTCACGTCCATGCTGACGCTGAGCTAAAACAGCACCAAGTTCACGCAAGCTACATCGTCCGAAAATGTCACCCGACTCGTTCGTCGTGAACTCGAAGCAATGGCTCCTGCAGCCATCGCCTCTGACGGTCCTCAAGACAACGCATCCACCATCTCCCTCATCCAAGCCGTCGTTCGCCAAGAAATAGCAAATCTCGGCCTCACACCTGTTTGCGCTGTTCGCACCACCGAGAGCTCGGCTTCTGTTAACCAGATTCCGGTGTACCCTTCACGCTACCCTTGCCGCTACCGGAACCCTGCTGAATGGAGAACGTCGGATGATAGACCGATCTGCTTTCACTGCTCTCGCGCCGACCACATTGCACGCTACTGTCGCAATCGTTGGTCATCCAATTCATCTTGGAACACTAGGACATGGCGTCGCTTTGAAGGCAGTTCTCGCCGCTTTTCTACTCCGTACGATCCACAGCCTGCTCCTACTAACGTTCAGGGCCGAAGGTTCAGCCGGTCACCATCACCCCAAGGCCGCCGATCTCTCTCGCCGATGATTTCTCGATCCAGGTCCCCTGCACGACCTGGGCCCTCAACCTCGGGAAACTAGACCACGCAGCTCCCAGAGGTGACGCTGCATTAACGACCCATTCTGCAAATCCTCTGTTGACGATTCCAACACGCCGCAATACTTTGGACCTTTTGGTGGATGACGTTACCGTTACAGCCCTCATAGACACTGGTGCACAAATTTCAGTCATGAGCGCGGCTCTCTGTATTAAACTGCGAAAAGTGATCACGCCTCCTATTAAGTGTGCAGTAATGCTTGCCGATGGGAGCACATCTGCCGTTCTCGGCATGTGTACCTCTCGCGTGTGTATTGCTGGGCGCCAGACCATCGTATTGTTCACCGTGCTTGAGCAGTGCCCACATGACGTGATTCTTGGCCTCGACTTTCTCTCTGCGCACTCCGCCCTTATCGACTGCTCGACGGGTCTTCTTCAGTTGGAACTGCCTTTTGACGCCGCTGTTGCCCATGACGCTCAAAGTCGCCTTTGTGCCACCGATTTCCTGCATCTTCCGCCGCAAGCCGCGACTTACGTGCAGCTCGTGTGTGATCCGCCTGTTCGCGATGGTGAATATGTCATTTCACCTATTACCGACGTTGTGCTAAAGCACTCCATTGCTGTCCCGCACACCGTGGTGAGAGTATGCCACAATCAGACCCATCTGTCTCTTTTGAACTTTGGTTTCTCCACGCATGTGCTGCCTGCTGGTATTAAACTAGGCGTCATGTCGTCGTTACAAGAGTGTGATATTTCTGAACTGTCGGTTCAGCAACCTACCCCGCACCTCCACCAATAATCTTACAAGAAAACGTATATTTACAGATATTTACAACGATTACACGCAATGACAATGCCTGGTGCCCTGGCGGGCTGGAACCAGTCTCTATCCACTTCGTAGTCTTTTATTTCAGCCAGGGACCCTCTACCGCTTTATGCCCCAATCCCACTACTGCCTTGTGGCAATATTAAAGGGACAATGAAGTCAAATAACAATTCGCGTCAGAGTGAAAGCTTATTGCAGGACAACATCTTAAATGACAATGTTATCAACAACAGCGCTCTACTTACCGAGAAATCAAGGCAAATTCACAAGAATACATGCAGTAGAGCATTCTCAAAATGATACTCACGATGTCAGATGAACAACCTACAATCAATCACTATTACTCCGTTTCATACATCAGGTGCAACGCTGTGAAGGCTAGGCAAGTATTCCGCAAAGAAAACACGAGTAATCTAGCTGCAATTAATAAAGAACCTTCCGTCCATCAAGAGACGCAATACTGCTTGTTCATTTCTGTTTGATTCATGAAAAAAGAACCACTGGATGTTACTATGGGGAATGCGCCAGTGTTTCAAGAATTCAATTTTCGCGTGGTTAAATTGGGCAGGTAGTACCGTCTAGCAGGGTGCAGTTGAACCAAAACACATCTGCCATCTCTGAGGCAATGGCAAGAAATTGATCAATAGTCATTGTTGCTGTTGTGGCTACAGCTACTTTCGTTCTGTCTACTAGTGTCGGCGTCCGCACAGTAAAGCCGGGCAACGTTGAGCACGGCAATAGTGAAGGGGGTTGGTCAGCTTGTAGAGGCGGGAAATTTGAAGTGCGCTAACCCGATGCGGGCAACTAAAACGTGATTTTATTTCAAAATAAGCCTTTCCTTGGTATAAAAGTAACAGTACGAGATTTCAACGTCGATTTAACAGTTGCCTTTAGTTAAGCCATGCGATTTGTAGTGCGACACAGTAACTTTGCAAGAAGGTTCAAATAAGTCTCTGTTCTACAAAACCTGGAGTCATTTTTGATAACTAGCTTTTTTCGCAAAATATGATTTCCTTCGCCTAATTCTCATTCAGTTACGGCAGGTCACCGCTGTTGCCGACACGAGATGGCGCTAGGTGTGAATTTCCCCAAATCCAGGTCATGACAAAAGAAAGAACACTTTAAGAACAGACTGGCGATAAGATGTGGATAAGTAAAAAAAAAGCCAATATTTATATCACTGGGAAAGCATGCAAAAATGGGGTTTGTTCTGGAAATGCTTTGAAAAGAGATGTCGTTGGGAGAAAGTCAGACGCTATACAAAACAACAGCTCTAAAGCTCACAGACTAAAGAGAGAAAGAGATAAGCAGAACTCTCGTTTTTTCGCTGTTGTATCTTACAAGCGTTCTCAAACTTTCTGAAAGAAAATTCAAGCCTCGACAAAGGCAATTATCACCATCCTGCATCCCCCCCCCACACACACACACGCGCACACCCACTTGCAAAAGTTTAACAAAGCTCAGACAGCTATACTTACATCGTCGAAACCATGAGTGAGACAATTAGGAGAAGTACTGCCTTTGGTGCAGACATTATATGAATGAAATTATGAACTCGTGTATAGACCGCAAATATGGGGTAAACTGTGAATGGTTTTACACACGGGTTGCTATCTTAGGTACGAAGCAAGTTCAATGTACCTCCTGTTTCTATTTACATGGTTTTTGAGGAAGGAAGAAACAATGGGCTGAATGTTTTCCTGGCGAATCGCTCGTTTCGCGCAAAACCAAAATTAGACCATCGCACAATAGATCAGTGCGAACAATATGCTAATGTGTAAAAGTCTATCGATGCACCAGCATCTACGCAAGAGGCACAACAATAGAAATGTTTTCAGCTTCCTTGAATAGGTGTTCGACTGAAAAATAAAACGTCGGCTAGTAAGGAAAAAACGTAAGATTTCCGTTCAAATAAGAGGGGGGAAATGCACATACAATGGGACGGAAAATAATGTGCACAAAAACCGCTGCCCACACTCTTTGCAAGCAGCTCCTACATTGTCCCCTTAACACGTATGTGCGCAATTGTACCGCTATAGCGGTAAGCAGCTCATTTCGCAGAAATTCAAGTGAGTGCGCCAGCGTCATTGGTTGTGAGCAAGAAATAATGATAACTGCGTGACCGAAAATTGAGAAAGACACGAATGAAATAAATAATTAAAATAAGGGGTCCAAGTGAAGATGGAATCCAGGTTGATTGCTTGGAAAACAGGTGTTCTGCCACACAGCCACGCCTTTGTTTCCTCTGATTGAAAATGCAGAGAAATAATAACTTCCTCTGCTTAGAAATGCAGTTGAAGAAACTTTCATGCTCTACAAACACACGCCTCCTATATACAGGCTTCACAATACAACATGAAATATTGTCATAATAGTGTGTGGTACTAGCGTACATAGCCATTGGGCGCGTCACAGCATGGGATTATCATAATGACTTCAAAGTTTTCACCCACACAAAAGGCAGCCGTTAAGGTCATGCATTGGGTGCATCGGTAGGTGAGGCCCCCGGGACGGCTCTATGCTCTCCCATAGTAGAGGGTCATGCATAGGGTGCATAGCAAGTTCGAAAAGATTTTATACACTAAGTGTTTCAAGTAAACACTAGGAATAGAATATCGCTATTGCGTTCAACTGTTAAAGGGGAAGCTTAAGTGTCCCCCCCCCCCATTTTTGGTGTCGTGTTGGGCCAGTAAAATCTTCCTGGAGGGAAAAAAACATGGCTTATCCCTCTTCCATAGCAATCAATATAACACAAAAGGTAAGCGTGCCGTCACAGAAGTAACTGATTCTTCATGAGCGACATAACGTTAGAGGTTATTTCGAGAAAATTCCACATCAGCGTCGGTCTTAGCTGGTTGGAAGTGAGCAAAAAGTTAGCCTTGCCTCAGAGCGAAAACTCGAGAAAGATGCAAGTATGACCGCGATTCTCAAGCGCATAGACATGGAAGCGGACAACGTCTCGTTCGTGGACGCCGCTGCCTATCACAACAACCGAGCCTTCGCCGTGGTATCATCCGCGCAGCAGACTCTTAACTCTGCCACAATCCTCACCCGAAACCCCGAAGTAGCGAAGCAAGTAGCTATAGCTATAGCTATGCTCGACAGCAAGCGGGAACTCATATACAGCGACTCCAGACCGGCCATCAAAACCTTCGAACGCAGGGTCATCTCCAACCAGGCATTACGTATCCTGCGCAGAGCGGACCCGAGTGCCCTAAAGCACCACACTGTCATCTGGTTCCCCACCCATCTCGGCCAGATGCCGGGTGCCCTATCCAACCTCAACGAGATCGCCCATGATGCAGCGCGCGCACTTACCGACCGCACCGCCACAGGGCAACCCCATCTCGCTGAGTTAGAGACCAATCGGGATGCACCCATTACGTACAATGACATCACAAAGCACTTTTACCTTGAACGCCGCATTTTTTCACCCCCACATACGAAACTTAACCGACCCCTGGCATCAACCCTGCGCCTATTACAGACACACACGTACCCAACCCTTGCTAAACTTCATGTTTATTATCCCTATGCATACCCCAGCGACACATGCCCATCATGTAGACACACAGTGACACTCGCACAGATGCTCTAGGAGTGTAGAACAACTCCTCCCGACTCTACCTCAAGCAAGTTGGAGAGGTCCCTCGGGAGCTCACTTCTCGCCGACCAGCAATGGGCCGTCCAGCAGGCCCACGAAGCGGCCGCCAGGTACTCCCTGTCAGTCCCTACGTGGGAGACGCCCGCTACGCGCTAAGCGCGTCCTGCAGGACTGAAATAAAGTTTTTTTTCATTTCATTCCATTCCATATCCTAAAAATGTTTAATTCTAGTAAGTATCGAACATATGTTTTCTCCTTGACAAGTATAGGCGTTCTAACAAAGAGCAGCATCAGAAAACGTGGCTGATCCCAGTGTCTAGGAATCGGTTTAACAAGAGTGTCCTCACAGAGGCAGCCAAGCGTTTATTGAGCATTATTTCTCCAAGAAGTGAAGTAATGAATGCTGCCGCATCAGTACATCCCGGTGAAACGACAGTTACCTTGCTCGGTTGCTCACCCAAAAGTCGCAGATTTCATGGAGGCGATATAGTAGAGGTCCGTGGTGTGCCGTGTGATTTCAGCGCACGTCAAGTACACCCGATGATCAAAATTTCCGAAGCCCTCCCCTAGGGCGTCTCTCAAAGTTATATGGTAGTTTCGGGACGTTAAACCGCAGATAATATTACCAGTGTCACGCCACGAATGGCAAACACTTAGAAACTTGCAGCGCTCACCTCATGCAGAAAGCACCCACGAAATGAGCATGTACAAAAAACGACCACCGACTAACAACTGTCACAGTTCTGCACTTGAAGTGCGCTGCTGTAATATAAAGAAAGACGATTGAAACGAATGCACAAGTTTACACACTGCTGTCACAATTCTTCCTTCATCGCAAGTGGGCAACGTGCTATTTTAGTAAACGCGGCCGCGAGCGAAGTCGCTGAAGTTGCTGAGCTCTGAGGATTGCTAACGGTATGTGCTGTATGTCAGGCCCGTAGCAAGGATTTCTTAATTTTTTTTTTTGGGGGGGGGGGGGGAGGCACTTGTTCAGAGCCTTGAAAAACACCCTTGCTTTATCATATATTCTCGGCAAAACGTCCCCGCCATCTGAATTTCGAGAGTGCATGGCATGAGCCCCTTGCCCTGCCCCCGTCTTTGGCTACGGGCCTGTTGTATATGAATAGCTTGCCGTTAGCAAGCTGGATGAGGTACGCCCTGTGGCCTAGAGGTTTCGCACCACGCGCTGCGAAGCGAGAGATTGTAGTTACGACGCCGAGTGACGGAACTTTTTCTTCTCATTGTTTTTTTAAAGCAAAGCTTCTTAGGAGTGCACGATCACCATCCGTCTTTAATCTTTTGGGTGCTGTCTACAGTCGCAGTACAGGTGCAAAACATCTGTGCGCCCAACCAGGTACAGAGCGCACACGTTGTTTACAAATAGATCATCTGTAAGTCTTTCCTTGTGCATTCGTGTGTCCATTCTTTATATTAGTCGGCGACCTCAACGTAGACATATAGACCTTCGAACTTAACTTCACTCGATAATCAGCATCCACTTCATTTATATGCGTGTATTTTTCTTCCCACTGTTAGTATATATTTTAAAACGTCATATCCGTGACATAAATACGTCAGCAGAACTGTAAGGAACCCCAGCATGAAGCATTTTTCTGTTAAAAAAACTCTGTGTGAACGTCATGTAGCAGGGGTCTCCTTAACGCATACAATATAAAGCAGCAGAAGCGTTGAATCGCGTCAAAAGATGTAAATTGCGCAACGAGTGGGTGTCATAGCAGTACATTCATTGCAATGTGCTGAGACATACTTAATCGTTATGAGCTCCAAAAAACAGGTCAGCGTGTTCCCTTACGGACGCGTAGTGCACCCTCAATGATTTTCAAAAAAAAATTATGGTGTAGGGCGCACTTGACAACTGTACTTTCAGTAGGCGTTCTGAGACACCTTAAAACGCAAACGCGTAGTCGTTCGTTTTTATACGGCACATGTGAGACATCCGCCGAGAACCGAAGGCGCGTTACTAATGAGAGGGTGGTGCACGTCGCGCCCTATCATGAGGTTGTGTTCTACTCTAGAAAGCGAAGCTCAAATGTCATCCAAGTTGTCTTTTTTTTTTTAGCGCTATCCTTTGTGCCACTGTGTGCTCATATGATGAAAGTGCACGACAGGCACCTACAGCGCTTCCACGCAGTGTCTATGGCAACTATAGAAAGGATCACTTCTAATGATGAGGTAACCTTCTAGTACAGAAGCCGTTCATACTTTTCAGCTGTTGTTTGTACCTGAATATGCAGCCCTACGCAATGATATAACTCAAAAAAGGCTTATAACTCATTAGTGCTTTTGGATACAGTTTTGAATAGATGAGTCGGTGCAAACATACAATAAACAGAAGATTAAGCTTAAACGATGCCATCGTAGTGGTAGTGTACTACTCAGTCTGTTTCTTCGGATACACATATATCCTGACTTAAAAATAAACTATAAAATCGAGAATATGGCCATAAGATCACTTTTTGGCAACTATAACCAGCAGCTCATTATAAAAGTATACAGAGCAGGAGAGAAAAATTTGTTAAAAATTCCGGCGGTCCGGAGGTGCGGATCCTACGCCCCTACGCCTAGTGCTCAACCAGGAGGACTTGGGCCCTGGTGGCGTGCTCGGCATGTTGAATTGCCCAGAGCTGTTTCTCTGGATCTAAGATGAGTAGCATGGTCTCCCTCTGCTCATCATTGTCAATTGTTCGATCCTGTCAGACTGCCTCTGGAGAGGACCACAGGATTAGAGGTGGGCCCGCCTTTTCCTAACATGATTTGCACCTGTCGGTGTATTGGCCTGGGTAATAGTGGCTATAGGCCACGGCATACAGAAATTTAAATGAAGATCTTTGAAGACCCGTCAAAGGCATACCAGATTTAAATTATTCCTTAACGTCTGTTATTCTAGAAGGGGAAAACTGTAAGCAATAGATCTGGACACCGTGCCACGTAGCGAAGCGATAAGACGATAAGACCACTGCTTCAACTTCACAGACTTCGATTGTGACGGTAACGTCTTGCCTGATGTTTTGTGGGTTTGTTTTCCTTTTCTTTTTACTACAACTGTTCAACTATAGCACAGC